GGGGAACTGCTGAACCAATGTTTTCCCACGTTTACATCCTGGGTGGGGTAGTGAAATTCACAGCTGGAAGTTCGCAGCAGTCATGCAAAGTTACCGCTCCTGTGATAATCATGACAGGAAACATGCGTGACAAGTTCCTTTGGTATTGTAACATGCATTAGAACCATCTTGCTCGAGGCAGCCGCCACGCATGGGAATATGCACTGTATGACTCGTCCGCCCTGAACTTTCAGCCGCGTAGCGCCAGGAGGCCCAAGACCTTCGCCGGCGCAGCCTGACAAGATACTGGTCATTTCCAGACAAAATAATGCATGAAGCCGTTGGAAGTTTTGGGTTTAGGGCTGAAGAGAAGAAACATGGGAATTCAATCTTCAGGGTCAACTCTTGAGATGTACTGATTCGTGTTCATTTCGGCTTATATTCCACCCCGAAACCCTGCACTAGCCAAAGTTTTATATTTAGATAAACGGGGCTTAGGATTTAAAGTCCTGGCTTCAAGTGGGCTTTGGGTGCGCTGCATGATCCAGTGTGACATGAGGCAGTAGACCGAAAATGCTGAAACTTAAGAAACCGAAGTCTCCTGGATTTTCATCTCGCATACTAGAAGGTCGGCAGAGGATTGGGATTCTGGTTGCAGCGGCCGATTTGGGGCGCAAGAAATGTCAAGGTCCAGGATGCTCAGATCAGGGTTTGTATGCAATCTAGGTGAAGCCTAGCCTCGGTTTGCTGAAGGCGCGTTCCGATTTTCAAGTGTTACGTGGGTATTCCCGATGTTTGAGCTTTTTGCCTAAGGCCGAAAAGGCCACGCAGCGATTGCTTCAAGTGCAAGTTTCATGGACTTTCTGAAGACTCGCACATAGTCGGTAGCTTTGGTAAAGGCGTGAACCCTAAACCCCAAAGCACGCAGCCCCTAAACCGTAGAGAGCGTGGTTACCCGTAGGGCTGCACCGGAGAGCCTCTTCACGCTGTTGCCATGGCCGCTCGGATGCTATGACATCGGTGTCGGTGACCTCCGTGAGGCATTGAGCTACACATATCAGCGTGTTGTAGTGCTCCCTTCTACGAAAGTTTTCCATTCTTGTTGCTGGGACTTCTGTGTGTTTCATAAAGCTTCCGTAGCTTTTTGAAATTGGTTCGCGTAATCTGAAGTTCTTCAAACTGCGGATCCTACTGGTTAGGTTGTCAAGGCTTCTTATAATTGTTTTACCTGATTCTTACGGATCGCTATTGTAATCAGGAATCAGGATCCTACGCTAACATTGGCTTGCCTGTTCTCTTGATTTTTTATATGGGGCTTAAAGTGTAGGGTTTGGGGTGGATGGCTGAGTTCGTGCGTACCTATAAAGACAGAGCAACAAAACAGACAGGCGAAAATGCGCCGACAGAAACCAGGATACGTACATTCACGCATAACATGACATATACACTGCATAAAAAACATACGTACTACCTACCTCCCTGCGTGCCTGCCTGCCTGCCTGCGTGCCTACCTACATACCTACCTACTTACCTGCCTACCTACCTACACACCTACACACCTACATAACATGCGTGCTTACGTACTTGCGTACTTATGTATTTTGTGTCCTTACATATTTCCCATGCCCACAAGGGCACTTCAAGGGACACTTGACATGCACAACGGCCCATCATTGAAACGAACACACGCGTTCTGCATGATCAGACTGGCAAGTGTCAAGACCTCAATGCATCCACGCGGTACAGATGCCGTTTGTCACACCAGGTCGGGAATGCATAGGTCTAGTGGACCAGCGTTGGTCAAAGATAAACAGGAAGAAAATCCCGCTTGAGACAATGACAGTGCGCGACACAAAAAAATACTCAACCGCTAAGCCCTGGCACCCAGCATGTTTGCAACGCGACGTTTGAAACCTCAAAACTGGCAGTCCCTGACTCAAGCCTTAGGTTCCCAAACCATTAGGTCTTCTGCACATAACGGGGCCATCGCCTTCTCGCGGAAAATATTGAGGCGGCCTCAGGGTTGGCAGCACTATAAGGCACTATAGCCAGATACTCTTGGCATTTGACAAAAACCACTGTTGCCGCTGATAGGTTACACCAGGTTGGACATGCGTCAGATTCGTTCCAGTGAACCCTTCCCGAAGCCTTCCAACACGGGATGCTGCAGCAAGTATCATGACCACCAATGCTGGGCTTGTGCAGGCAGCGAAGCTGATGAATATATGGGCCGCCAAACAAGACACAACAAGCCAATGCACCCAAGCTGCGGTCCGGCCCAAGCCCCATCGTCTTGCAGCGCAAGCCCGGGTACTCTGACGCGGGGTTCTAGACCTGACAAGAACCCATAAACCAAACGCCTTGCAAACCTCAAATCCCGGAGACTGCCGAACACCCGAACCATTCCCCCGTTCAGTACCACAGTATTTGATGGGCCATATTGGGCCAGCGGGTCCTCCTGATCGAAGGAGTTGTGATTAATTAACTAGACAGCAGGCTCTGGGGCCCGCGATTGGCCCGGCTTCATTTTCGGGCAGCACACCACACCCGAATCGCCTCGCTCGCAACCCCTGCGCGACACCGGCCTCATTCCGAGCGGCAACGTCAAACGGTGGAAGTTCAAGCCGCTGTTCACGACTCCATTTCCTGAATCAGAAGCAGCCGTAGCTAAGCGGGCAATAGATCGAACACCAACGATGCCGAGTCGCGGGGGCGAAAGCGAACTCGTGCAGCCGTGACTGCGCTGTGTCAGTTGACACAGTGCAGTCGGGACATAAGGACGGGCCCGGCCTGAACACATAGCAGTCGGAAGCTTCACAGCCATCTCACGTCTCCCCTGCCCAACATCACCCCGATGTAAATACATGGAAGCTCGAGCTGGCTCGATGTCCGGTAGTTTCACAACACCACATGTAAGGCAACTCTAGCTACCATGACATATCGAAACATGCTACTTTCCGTTGACTTTGGAAGTGACAGTGGGCTCTCGCAATGACAAAGAACAGGCCATGAGCCACAACCCAGACCATAGTACGACGGGAACACACGTCATGCTTTATCCGACAGGCCTTGCTGCAGCAGCAGCATCTTCTGCAGCAGCGTGCAGCGGTCCGTCCACGGACGAACAACAGAAGGGCCGCTTCTCACTGCCTGATGGAAAACTCAAGAAGGATTTCCTGGACTCCTGCTTAGGAACTCCATCGAGCAGGGATAGATTAACAACCTCCAGTACATTGTGCACCTGCTCGAGGCGAGAATTTTGGGCGTACAAGTCGGAAAAACGCAGGGCCAATGACTTACTTCACAATATATCTGAGGGGCGTCCGGGAGGGTAGGCCCCAAACTAACGTGATATCGACAATGTGGACAGGGAGTCGAACCGATGTGACACCAGTGCTAGGGCATGTTTCCGGACACAAATTTAGATGCACGGGTTTTGTTGCGCATGGAATGCCGGGCAAAAGCACGGCTCTCAACCACGATCCCGGGCACTGAAACGCTAAACTTCTCAAGAAGCTTGCAGGATTGCAGTATAGTATGGCCTGTAGTGGTCCCAAACAACCCCCTTCCTCGCCGAACCTGGTCCAACAGGGCTTGCCGGACCCGTAGCATCACAACCTCGAAGCGACCACAAGCAGGCTGGATAACTGCTAGGACCAACGACTTTGATGCACTAGAATCGCCGTTGTCGTTTGTAGCAGCCCGTAGGGCGCTTGGCACGCTTGCTTCCACGTTTGCTGTGACGATGCTGATGTTGAGAGCAGGTCATGTCTCGTATGGCCACACGTAGGCTTCATTGCGTGTGCATAGCGTGGCAGATAACGCATGTTCTTAGCCCTTTTGAAACCACGCTCGACCGTTGCTTCCAACCGCCAACCCCCCCCAAAAGCCCCTAAAACTAAACCCTAAGTCCGGACACATACGAGATCCAGAGGATGCTCAGACCCAGACCAGACGAGCCCCTGGCAGCTTTTCGGCCCTGTCCAACCACTCTGTCCTTGGCTCATCTTGGCTTTCTTTTGGATGCCTTGGCTTTCTGATGGCATTTTGAGATTTCTGCTCCGAATGTCTATTGTTCAAACCAAGCTCTTGCCTCCCACAACTACGACAAGATACAAAAACTGTTTCTATTTCTGGACATCTGGACATCCTTCTTGATATCGGCGAGCGGCCAGGACTTCACCTGCACGCTGTGGTTGAAGGCCACCCCGGGTTCAGCGCGTGTAGAGTTTAAGTTTAGAATTTACGGAATGCTCATAAAAAACGTGCTGAAAAGCGTGTCCGCACACTGTTGTCTTCAACAAGTTGGGGCTGCTCGTTGGGACGATAGGGACGCTGGGAAATAACAACATCATCTCCCGCATAAGCTGACCACATCTGTTGTAGATGATGTTTTGCATTTCAATTTGTGCACTTGCTTCTGCGGTTGCGTGGTTCACGCCTTCGGAAGTGGGCTATCATGTTGTCTCACTGCTCTGGAGGTCTAAACCTTCGTAAGACCAAAAGCGGATCGAACTCTTTTTCATTCAGTGGGGCCATCCTGAAATCGGTGTCAAGGCAGCTAGTACATATGTATGGAAATGCTGGATGCCGGCTGCAATTGCAGTGGCATGCACAAAGACATCAGGCTTGCTGACTGCACGCGTATGCTGTTAGGCAGAGCACATCAAGTGCCGGCACTTGCTGCGGTGGCGGGGCGGCGGAGGCCCAGAAAAGCTACGAGATTCGTTTGACAACATATGCGAAGTCATGTTGTCTCACTGCTCTGGAGGTCTAAACCTTCGTAAGACCAAAAGCGGATCGAACTCTTTTTCATTCAGTGGGGCCATCCTGAAATCGGTGTCAAGGCAGCTAGTACATATGTATGGAAATGCTGGATGCCGGCTGCAATTGCAGTGGCATGCACAAAGACATCAGGCTTGCTGACTGCACGCGTATGCTGTTAGGCAGAGCACATCAAGTGCCGGCACTTGCTTCCAACCCCACCCACCCCGGAGGAGTAGGGGGCCGGCGGCGGGTCATTACACCACTCGCATAACTCGGCGGCACAGACGAATGTACAAGTAATGGCCAAATGCGCCTGCCATGGAGGTGGTGACCGTGAGCAGAAGCTGCGTCAACAAAGGCCAAGAAAGCTGAGCAGGGCACTGGCCATGGCCGGCCGAGAAAGGAACCGTGACGGCCTCACTGGCCTGTTGCAGAAGTTCTTCCAGCAGCTGCTCGGCGAGGTGACCCACCAGGTGGAGCACACGCCGGAGCACGAGCCGTGCGATAGCTCCAAGCAAGCGGGCCAGCACCACGACAGCCAGCGGCTTGGCCAAAAACAGCAGACAACTAAGCAACAGCCAGAGCCTGGCACTTTTGGGCAACGCTACGAGCTTGGCACGAGCCTGCCGGAAAAGCCGCAACGGAAGCGGCACTGCGGCGCGGCGGGCAACGCGACACGGACGCTCAAGCAGAGCAGCGTCCTCCACTGCAGCCGGCGGCTGCGCGTCGGGTGCAACAGTCACATCCGAAGCCATTCTTGCAAACTTTTCAAACCGCTTGTCCTCAGGATAGTGGCGACCGGCACGGGTCAACCAATCAGCAGTAACATCGAGGTAGCGAGCCCCTTCAAGCGGCCCTGCACGAACCACGGCTTGCTTAAATCTGTGACGCCATCCGTCCATAAGCACTGACGGCCGCTGCTGAGGTCCCGAGTTCGCGCGGGCCCCGCACACGCACCGAAAGCCGCTGATGCGGAAGAAGTGTCTGCAGGACTTGAGTTGAAGGCTCGAGCAAGAAGAAGGCTTGCGTCAACAACAGCTGCAAAAAACGAGTCTGCGGGGCAGGTACCTGGAGAAGCAGTTGCTGTGCGGTGGCAAACTGTATGTAATGGAACAAGCTACTTTCACTAGCCCAGCGTCCCAAAAACTTTAAAGCCCCCAAAGCGACACCGGACTGGAACCAGTAGCTGGCGCCGCCAGACCGCAGACTGTAGCCCACCTGAAGTGTTGCAAAAAACAAGGGAACCCACAGGGAACCCACCCCATCTGCTGCAAAAACCAAGGGAACCCACTTACACACGCTTTGGGTAGTATAACACTATTAGAACGGTGGAAGGTCCCAGACATGCCGGAGTCAATCAAACTCAGTTGGCAGCTGAGTATTATACCACCGCTTTGTCCTAAGGGTGAAATCATTTGCCCGCCACCGCTGGGCTCGTTCAGGTTCCCTCGCCTGTATCCTCACACCCTGCAGCATACAATCTCGAATCAAGCTGCGGCGGATCAGTAGAGTCTGCCTGTCCGAGCTTTCTGCTAGCGGACAATTTCGGATCCAGATTTCCCATGCTGCGCGTTGCTCTATGTAAAAGACTACGGCGCTCAGCTTCGACCTTGCAACGGGCTCAACATTTCAGAAGCACTTGCGAATGAGCATGATATGACGGGCTCACATTCGTGCATTCGGAAAAACCTTCTAGATGTCAACAAAGAGTTTTGGCTGCCCACATGGACTACAGCAAGGCTCACTTACTCATCCTAAACCCTACAACACCGCAACGCAACCACGTTTTGGTGGCCTTTAGAAACAGAAGGCTGAGATTACGTCAAAGCACGGCTTCGTCACTGACTAGCCCGAAAAGTTTACCAGCTGCTCAGGGAACAGTTTGGGCAACGCTCATACATGCACTGGCTCAGATGGCAGACCTCATTGCCAGAAGGCAAACCCCACTCCGCAGCGTCATCGCTTTTAGTGCCGGGCTCAACGCTCGTAAAACATGCGTGCCCTGCCTCAGACAATGCTTGCACACTGCTGAACCGAAAAGTTTAGTAACTGACGCAACAGTTCGGGTCACAGCAAAGCTCACGCTCAACCGAAAACGAAGAAGTTACTAGCTGCTCACGCAACAGTGCAACAGTTCGCGTCACAGCAAGGCTCTCTCACCCACTGCTTCGGCAGCGCTCGCACCGCTGATCAGTGTCGGGCTCAAAGCCGTAAACATTCATTCCCTTGGAAAAGAAAGAGCGAAGCTCACTGCTCACCCGACACCGAAGAATACACGCTGCAGGCAACCGTTCGTCACAGCAAAGCTCACTCACTCACACTCACTGACTCACGTACTAAAAGCTGGCAGAGCTTAGTCACTGCTCACTGACCGCTGATCACCCTCAGTTGCTCTGCTTTAAGGATCTTCGCGACTCTGCGCACTTCCACCTGCTTTGGACGAAGGACAATCAAGACATCTTGTAGACACGCAGACAGTACCACACCTTTGCATTCTGACGCTCCTGTCGCAGGCGGACCACAAAGTCTCGTAGCAACAGGCCAGACGAGGAAGGACATTCATTTACGAAGGACGTTCTACACTCCTGCTGCAACTCCACTCTTTGAGGAGGAGGAACCGGAGGTGCTTTCACGTCGGACATGGTTGCAACACTTGGGCCAAAAGAGTGGTCGAATTGCGGAGCCAATTCCGGAAGCTGTTCTCTAGGATGCTTGGAAGGGCCTCCTCTGTGTGAGAAAGTTTTGTTTGCAAGGTTCACATGTTTCCGAGCGCTCCCCTTGTTATTTCGAATTTTGAAGGAACACCGGCAAAATGCAAAACAGAGCTGGCGAGGTTTATATACGGTTGCAAGCAACGGCCAGCTGTGTACGCAGAGGTGGCATCTGCTCGACGAAAAACGGTATGACTGGGCCCCAGAAATGGCTCCCAAATCTGAGCTCTAATTTGGGGCCCCGAATTGCGTGAGCTTGTATGTCCAACGAAGAAAGCCAAAATCTGGGGCCCGTTTCGGTGCCCGGACTAGAGCTGCTTTTTGGAACCCGTTTCAGCTGGAAAACTGCACGGAAAATACAAATCCTTCCGCATGCTGTTTGGATCAACGTCCAAGAAAGCCAACATGCTGTGAAATGTGAATTATTTCTGGCAAACTTGCCATCGGCTGCCATTTCAAGACAAATGCTTCTGTTCTTGTTCGTACAAGATCTTTCCCACACAGGGGAGGCCCTTCGAGGCTTCCTACGATTCTGTAGGAAAAAGAGCTCCTGCAAGTGGAGCTTCCAGGCGCAAAGCACCGCGCACGTACAGCAAGCAATCGAAACAGTTGAAGCTACAATCTGAGAGTAACATCTGCCAGTACCTGCCGCAAAATCCTCGCATCAGCGTGGCATTTAGCCACAGCAAACTTATCAAGAGCATTACAATAGGAGGGCGGCGAGCCTCATGTGCATCAGAGGTGAGCCTATTTAACGTCTTTGGTCTCGACCCAAACTGCAAACAGCAGACGTGCTTTTTGCATCCTTACTTCAAAGCAGCAAATCCAAATGCAGCGCAATATGTGCGATGGAACTGGGCCACACCTGCAGCCACTGTCCTGAACATCTTCTTCAGTTCCACTCTTCCCTGAAACATAATGCGCGAGCTGGAGAAACCATGGGAACCCACATGTACCCCACAGGGAACCGAGCTGACACACTGCAAGAGCCAAGGGAGCCCGCCCAGACCTTTGCGCAATATAGCCCACTTACAATGCTGCAAAAAGCAAGGAACCCACAGGGAACCCACCGTCGATGCTGTTAAACCATGTGGAACCCATTAAAAATGCTGCAAAAAACTAGGGAACCCACAGGGAACCCAGCTGACATGCTGCAAAAGCCAAGGGAGCCCGCCAAGACCTTTGAGCGACGTATACTGGAAAACCATGGGAACCCACTTCAAATGCTGCAAAAAACCAGGGAACCCAACAAACCCCACCGTCGATGCTGTTAAAATCCATGGGAACCCACTTAAAAATGCTGCAACAGGGAACCCACAGGGAACCCACAGGGAACCCACAGGGAACCCACCGTCCATGCTGCAAAAACCATGGCAATCTACAAGAAAGCTAAGTGAAGAATCAATGAAGAACATACACAGACCCACCCGAAATGCTGCAAAAAACAAAGGAACCCATATGTAGCCCACTTGAAGTGTTGCAAAAAAAACAAGGGAACCCACAGGGAACCCACCGTCGATATTGTTAAAAACCATGGGAAACCCACTTAAAAAATGCTGCAAAAACCAGGGAACCCACAGGGAACCCACAGGGAACCCACCGTCCATGCTGCAAAAACCATGGCAATCTACAAGAAAGCTAAGTGAAGAATCAATGAAGAACATACACAGACCCACCCGAAATGCTGCAAAAAACAAAGGAACCCATATGTAGCCCACCTGAAGTGTTGCAAAAAACAAGGGAACCCACAGGGAACCCACCCCATCTGCTGCAAAAACCAAGGGAACCCACTTACACACCCTTTGGGTAGTATAACACTATTAGAACGGTGGAAGGTCCCAGACATGCCGGAGTCAATCAAACTCAGTTGGCAGCTGAGTATTATACCACCGCTTTGTCCTAAGGGTGAAATCATTTGCCCGCCACCGCTGGGCTCGTTCAGGTTCCCTCGCCTGTATCCTCACACCCTGCAGCATACAATCTCGAATCAAACTGCGGCGGATCAGTAGAGTCTGCCTGTCCGAGCTTTCTGCTAGCGGACAATTTCGGATCCAGATTTCCCATGCTGCGCGTTGCTCTATGTAAAAGACTACGGCGCTCAGCTTCGACCTTGCAACAGGCTCAACATTTCAGAAGCACTTGCGAATGAGCATGATATGACGGGCTCACATTCGTGCATTCGGAAAAACCTTCTAGATGTCAACAAAGAGTTTTGGCTGCCCACATGGACTACAGCAAGGCTCACTTACTCGTCCTAAACCCTACACCGCAACGCAACCACGTTTTGGTGGCCTTTAGAAACAGAAGGCTGAGATTACGTCAAAGCACGGCTTCGTCACTGACTAGCCCGAAAAGTTTACCAGCTGCTCAGGCAACAGTTTGGGCAACGCTCATACATGCACTGGCTCAGATGGCAGACCTCATTGCCAGAAGGCAAACCCCACTCCGCAGCGTCATCGCTTTTAGTGCCGGGCTCAACGCTCGTAAAACATGCGTGCCCTGCCTCAGACAAGGCTTGCACACTGCTGAACCGAAAAGTTTAGTAACTGACGCAACAGTTCGGGTCACAGCAAAGCTCACGCTCAACCGAAAACGAAGAAGTTACTAGCTGCTCACGCAACAGTGCAACAGTTCGCGTCACAGCAAGGCTCTCTCACCCACTGCTTCGGCAGGGCGCGCACCGCTGATCAGTGCCGGGCTCAAAGCCGTAAACATTCATTCCCTTGGAAAAGAAAGAGCGAAGCTCACTGCTCACCCGACACCGAAGAATACACGCTGCAGGCAACCGTTCGTCACAGCAAAGCTCACTCACTCACACTCACTGACTCACGTACTAAAAGCTGGCAGAGCTTAGTCACTGCTCACTGACCGCTGATCACTCTCAGTTGCTCTGCTTTAAGGATCTTCGCGACTCTGCGCGCTTCCACCTGCTTTGGACGAAGGACAATCAAGACATCTTGTAGACACGCAGACAGTACCACACCTTTGCATCCTGACGCTCCTGTCGCAGGCGGGCCACAAAGTCTCGTAGCAACAGGCCAGACGAGGAAGGACATTCATTTACGAAGGACGTTCTACACTCCTGCGGCAACTCCACTCTTTGAGGAGGAGGAACAGGAGGTGCTTTCACGTCGGACATGGTTGCAACACTTGGGCCAAAAGAGTGGTCGAATTGCGGAGCCAATTCCGGA